ACCAGCATATTTATTGCTGTGGTGAAGGAGAAGCAGCCTGAGTGTCTTCCCTTGCTCTGGTGTCAAAGATCTAGTGTCTTTGCCTTTCAGCTCCAGCTGCCCTCAGGCTACTGTCCTGTTCAATCTCTCTCTTATGCACTTAGAAAATAACCTCTGTATTTTCTCCTGCAGCCGCTGAGTTGGGCTAATGAAGTCTCTGGTGGAGTGTGCTGTGGCTTGGGAGATGAATCCAGCTGTCTGAGGAGGGCTGGGAGCTGGTGGGCTCTGCTGCTGGAAAGGGGGAGAAGGAGCAGTAGGGGTGGGCTCAGAGCCACCAGGCACCATCAGTCCTGGAGCATGGGGTGTTGGACCAAGGCAGAGATTCTCAGGTGGCTTCTTGCACTCTGGCCACTTCAAGAACTGGTTGGTTCCATTCTGAACATCTCCCAGAGACCATATTGGGCCATGTCCAGGGGCTGCAAAGCTTGAGAGGAAGGAGCAGCTTCTTCTGGCAGGGAACATGGTGAGGACAACCCAGTAGCACCCTCTCAAAGTCCAGGAGGGGTGGTGGGGAAAGGCAGGGAACTTGAACCCTGTTGCTTTAACCCCGTAACTTCACCTGGCACTTCTTGTGATGCAGTGGTGGGCCAGGCTGGTGTGGCTTGAGCTTAGCATGGGGCAGAGATGGTGTTTGCCACAGAAACGTGTCCCCAGAGCCAAGGCACAGCCTTTGGCTTGGGAAAGGTCACTTGGTACCACCTGAGAGCTGTTTGATCCCCTGAGCAGAGAACTGGCAGAGGGGTGGCAAGGTGGGAACGTGAGGAACAGTCTTGCTGAGGCTTGGCTTCTCTTCCTGTGAGGGAAACCTTCCCTTTGGAGGGCACTGTGGGGCCAGAGAAGGAGACTGATCCATGCCTTGCAGGATCTGGGGTTGCTTTCATGTTCTGGCTGATTCAGGGAGGCTTCTCTGAAACAATTGCAGTCATCATCACACTCTTGCATTCCTTCTGATGGCTTCAAGTAGGAACAGGAGAGTTTTATGATGGCCATTTCATCTGCATGGAGTAACCTTACATTTGCAAATTTAGAAGCAGAGGCTGGAATTAAAGCACTGCTTCATGAGCAGAACTGGTGGAAAATGCTTTTAAGTGACTGGATATGGAATCCATTCTCTTTAGCTTTCTAAGAAGCAAGTTGGAGCTTTGTTTTGACAAAATGTGCATCATGGTTGTGTTAGACTTGGGGAAGAACAAGTACATCATGTGCAATGTTTTGTAACAAGAAACAAGTAACACGGTCTTGTGTGTCTTCTCTGCAGTCTGTCCTTCATCCATCTCTATGAGGAATAAAGCTTGAATGCAAATGCTAAATGAGCATTTAGGTAATTCTTGTTTTTATAAACAAAGCACTTTTAAATTGCAAAGCAGTAAAAGTAGCTATTGGTGAACACCTCCAAATTTGAGCAGCTCTCATATAGAAAATACATATTAAATTACTCAAAACAGAAGCACGTTCTCTTTTTTCTGACTGATCATAGAATCAGAGAATGGTGAAAGTTGAAAGGGACCTTAAAGATCACCAGGTTCCAACCTCTCTGCCATGAGCAGGGACACCTCCCATTAGGAACCCTGCGCCATCTTGGGCCAGGAGAAACTTTAACTATACATTTTCACTTAATGCCAATGTTTTTTTGGGTTTGCTGTGAAACAAACTGTAGAAATGGAGCAATTTGTGCCTGCCTAAGGGTTTCCTGAAGCTGACAGTTTTCTGCTCCACTCTGCTTCCTGGAAAGTTGTCAGTGGGTGGGCTGGCCAAGAAGGCCACCAGCATTCTGGCTTCTATGAGCTCTAGTGTGGCCAGCAGGAGCAGGGCAGGGATTGTCCCCCTGGGCTGGGCACTGGGGAGGGGGCACCTCGAATCCTGGGGTTGGTTCTGGGCCTCTCCATGAAGGACACTGTGGGGCTGGAGCATGTCCAGAGAAAGGCAACAAAGCTGGGGAAGGGGCTGGAGCACAAGGAGAAGGGTCTGGAGAACTTGTGAGGAGCAGCTGAGGGAGCTGGGGGTGTCCAGCCTGGAGACCAGGAGGTGAGGGGAGACCTGCTGGCTCTGCAGCTGCCTGAGAGGAGGTTGGAGCCAGGGGGGTTGGACTCTGCTCCCCAAGAACAAGTGATAGAACAAGAGGAAACAACCTCAAGTTGTGCCAGTGGAAGTTTAGATTGGATTTTGGGAACAATTTCTTCATGAAAAGGGTTGTCAGGCCCAGGGCAGGGGGGGAGTCCCCATCCCTGGAGGGATTTTCAAGCCCTGTAGATGTGGTGCTGAGGGACATGGCTTAGTGGTGGCCTTGGCAGGGCTGGGTTAATGCTTGGACTGGTTTATCTTCAAGGTCTTTTCAAACCAAAATGATTATGTGATTCTATGCTAACTACATAAAATATAAGTAGCTTCTGCCTTGGGTAGCTGTCCCCCTCTTCTGTGATTAGTTTTTGTAGAGCATCATCTTAGGTATTCCTGCCTGTATCCATAACATTGTGCCAGGAAATCTTCTCTGTATTTTTAAAATAATTATTTTAATTCCATCACTAATATGTTTCCTGCATTCTGGGAGGAGTGCTTGATGCAGTGAAAGGGTCACAAAGGGTGTATTAAAATAATAGAATGTAATTAAAAATAATACGTGCAATATTGTGTTTTCCATCTCAGGTCTCCCAAGTCCTTTGCATTAATCAGGCAGGAATTCATCATCAAGGCGCAGTTGTGAGAGCAGTGGGACAAACCTCAAGGCACTTGTTAACAGGACTGATTTGTGCATTACTGCTCAGATTTCCCTGTCTTTTCTCTAGAACCTGTTAAGACGTCATGAGCTAAAAGTGAGGTAAACTTATCCCTCTTTGGGTATTAGTTTGAGACCTTTTTGCAGCCGTGTCCCCCTGACAGCTCTGCTGAAACTCAGCTCTGTTTTAAAAAATCAATGCATTCTCCCAAATCATTTTGGAGTCTGTGAAGTATGTGAGGCACCATTAAAGGTTGATTTTGCTCATTCTTGAGAAAAATATCTAGTTTTATGCTTCGTATTAGATTGATACCTACTGTGAACAAATGAGTCAAACATTTATAGAAAATAATGATGACAGATAAATTGCCTTGGAAGAGGAGTTAGCCAATCCCCAGAATGGAAATGGGATCCTTCTGAAGCTAGCAAGAGATCAGCAACCTCAGAATTGAATTCTCAGGGTTATTTATTAGTCCACAAATACTATATTGTGTATTTTATTACTTCTGTGATGGCTTGACTGTGTGAAATGGATGGATGACTTCTTGGCAGACCATTAGTAGGTGCTGCCTGTCTCTGGTATCCATGGGTGGCATTGATGCTCAGTGTGCACCCTGCTTTGAGCATCCTGGCTATTTCTTCTCCTGTGACTGCCAGCCCACCAGAACTGGCCAGCAGCTCTCAAAAGAGGGTGGCATTTTGTCCTCCTTATATGTCAAGGGGGTGTATACACACACACACGTATCTGTGCACTTACACAAGAAATCAATCCTATTTCCTGCTTTACTAGTCATAATTGTAGAGACTTGCTGTTCATAATGAAATATATACTTACTTCCTGGTAGTAATTCTGTAGTAGCATCACAGTTACTAGTAGTAACTTGTAATAAAGAATATTTAATAAACACACCCCCCCCCCTGAAATTCGTAGTGCTCTTGTATTACAGAGGACAATTCTGCAATCTTTGCACCACCCACAGGGCAGGTCACCTTTAGGTCATGACATTTAGCAAACAGTAGCTTTCAGTTTCATAAATAGCAGGATTTCTTTTTTTTCTTCTCTTTTTTTTCCTTTTTTTCTTTTTTTCTTTAATTTAGACAGGCTGGGAGAGTTGGGGTGTTCAGCCTGGAGAAGAGAAGGCTCCAGGGAGACCTTAGAGCACCTTCCAGTGCCTGAAGGGGCTCCAGGAAAGCTGGGGAGGGGCTTGGGACAAGGGGAAATGGATTTAAGCTGAAAGAGGGGAGATTTAGGTTAGACATTAGGAAGAAACTCCTTCCTGTGAGGGTGGTGAGACCCTGGCCCAGGTTGCCCAGGGAAGCTGTGGCTGCCCCATCCCTGGCAGTGTTGAAAGGCAGGTTGGATGGGGCTTGGAGCAACCTGGGCTGGTGGGAGGTGTCCCTGCCCTTGCAGGGGGTTGGATCTAGTTGGTTTTCAAGGCCCCTTTCAACCCAAACCAGCCTGGGAGTCTATGATATGTGGTGGTGATAGGCATGATAACCCTGTGTTCCCACCACACTTGTTTGCTTCTCATTGTGGCATGCCTTGTTTGTGGTGGGGCTTTCTGCAGCTCCTTCCCTTCTTCTGGCTCTTGTTCCTTGGTTGTCCTTTGAAACACCCAGGCTTGTGCTGAGCTGCTTTCTTCCCATTCAGGCTTTTCAATCCCCCTTGTGTGTCTCCTCCCACACAACAGTGGTTGGCAGAGAGAGCAGCCTTGCTCTCATCAGGTGAAAAGTTCAGAAAGGAAAGGTTGGCTGAGATGGGAATTAAATCATGGCCATGGGTCGAAGTAATTTTACTTCAGAGAATAGCTTTGTTATTCATGGATGAGTGTTCTTGGGGATTCAGTGTCTCACTGAAAATGAGAAAAATTACCATGTGGTTTTCATGTGCATTGCTAAGGACTTCAGTCTTTTCCTTTTCCAACACAAAAAGAAAATTTCTTCTTCAGGAGACAATTTCACCTGAAGGTGCAGCAGATGAAACAAAGTTCATGTGGAGCTTAGTGTACCCCTGAGTGTTTCCAGCCCATGCAGATAGTTCACAAAAAAACCTCAAGCACTGAAGGATGACAAATGCAATGCTTATTTTTAACCCTTTCCTGGAGGTTGCCCTCTCCTTCATGCATTGAACTGTTCTTCAGCTTCTTGGAATCCTCTGGGTTTTATTCACAGCTTAATGAATTTAAATCTTAAAAGAACTTAATTTCCTTTTTAAAGAGGTCTTTTTTTTTTTCTTTCTTTCTCACAGATGGGAAGGTTGAAGTGACAAAAGAAGGTGTGAAGCTGTGCACCATGGGGCCTGGTAAAGTCTTTGGGGAGCTGGCCATCCTCTACAACTGCACCCGGACTGCAACTGTCAAAAGTAAGACACCTGCTCAGCTTTGATGCTGGATGGGTTTGATTTCCTTGGGCAGTAGGGATCTTCTCAGCTCTGCTTTGGAGTTACAGCTGCTGTTAGATGTCCTGCTTTCTTAGTTAAGCTCTTTATGGTATGGAGCAGCCTGGATGACTGGTGTTGTAATGGAATGTAGCCAGTGTGAATAGGAATAAGATGAATAAAAAAGCTGCTGCAGCAAATTCTTCCCCTCGGGTTTGTTCATGTATGGAATCTCCTGAGTTATTGCAGTGGTTGATGCTACCTCATGGATAGGAGGCTGTAACTTTCCATACAATTCCCCTGGGATCTCGTGGCTGCTGTTCAGAAGAACTTCCCTTGTAAGTCTTCAAGGGAAACTGTGTGTTTTTTGAGGACAAGTCATTGTTTTCCACCTACACTGAGTAAGCAAAACTGAGGGACAAAATCCCGGTGGCATTGATCTCCTTCTCCATTTCTTCAGCACTTTTCCTGTCATCTGGTTTCTTCTATGAATGTTCCAGACAAAAGCCTGGTTTGCACACTAAGCAGAGGGAAAGCATCTTGCTGCATACAACACAAATATGGTTTTATTTAAATTCAGATTAATAGTTGAGACTTGGGATACATGGTACCACAGTCCTCTGTGATCTTGAGGTTTATGGTGATGTCTTAAGCAGAAAGGTTTTATAGGAGATGATAAATGGTTCTGTGGTTTAAGGATGATGTAGGGGACAAGTTAGAAGGGTACAGATGGGACTGAATAATACGCAGACAAACAGGTGGCACCAAAACAATAAGGTATTTGAGCCCATGTCCAGCAGACAGCTTTTTATAAATACCTAATTTTACTTGAAGAGAACAAATGGGCAGAAATGATAAAACAGGACAAGATAACTAGGTTTTTGGGTGAACAACAAGCTGCTCTTCGTGATCCTAAAGAACTTGACTGATGTACTCTCTTTTCACCTGCTTAAACCCTGCCTATGTACAAAGGACTGTTGATTGGAGGTAAATCCTTGGCTACAGTGTTGGTTGTAGCCAGTTCATCAGTGGCAGGGTTCATGCTCTGGAGTAATCCACATGGGTAGCAAATGTTTTGGAGTGATCCCAAATGATGTAGCAAATGTCCATATAGGTCACACCTGGCCCCATGGGGACAGACCTCTAGGCTGCCTCAGGCAGTGTGTTGGGCTGCTCTTCTGCTCTTCTCTCCACCTCTTCTCCTTCCCTCTAATCTGCCAAGGGCCATAGGAGTGTGAATAGGCAGCAGGTGTTGCTCCACCCTTCCTGCCCCGTAGCTGCATTTTCCATGTAGCCATACAGCCTATTTTTCTTCTCAAAGTTTTGGGAATTGATGGTGGTGATGAATTGAAAGAAGTTACGGACTGATGTGATGATACATTTATTTAAAGTTAGGAAGAGCAGAGAGAAATGGTGGAATCCTGGGAAAGGAAATGAGAGGCTGGTTATTGATAATACATTTATTTCAAGTTAGAAAGAGCAGAGAGAGATGGTGGAATCCTGGGAAAGGAAATGAGAGGTTGGTTATTGTCTAGTTCCCCTTAGCAACACAGTGCTGAAAGGGTCCTGATCCAGTGGTACCATGAGCATCATGGAATCCTGCATAGTGATACTCTTCTGGTGTCCCATCAACCTGTTTGTACAAGTGACTCCAACAGGAAATAATACTGTCAGCAGTTTTTAATATCAGTTTTCCTGTTACTCTCTTTTTCATGTAGTCATGTCTTCTCCTGCACAAGCTGCCGGGTTCCACTTGGCACGTAGTTGTACCTCATCCTTGAGGTTCCACTTGGCACGTAGTTGTACCTCATCCTTTTTTGCTGGTTAAATTGGAGGCAGGAGTAAGGTCACTTTTATAACTGTCCTCAGAGGGATGTGTCTTCAAGTAAGAGGTGTCTGTCTTCCTTGTTAGACTCTGCTCCTTTCCCAGTGGCTTCATAACCATTAGGGTAATGACGCGCCTTCCTCAGCCGGCAGCTGTCGGGGCTGTCATCTCATTGCCAGGGCAAGTGACTTCAGGTATCTTCTCTCTCATTATTGCACAAGTAAGGAGCAGTAATCAGCCTTAGATCCTCTGGAGTGTGGTGGCACACAAGGTCACAGCTGGACTTTGGGGACCAATTTCAGCTGGACCTAAGGGAACAGGTCTTGGAGCTGTGCCAGGCAATGCAGGGCGTGTTCAGACCTTACATTGTCACTGCAGCATCAAACATCTGGTTGTTCTTTTGGCTAAATGGTCAATAAACATCATAAATCTCCAGAAATGCAAACGTTAGTAAATATTCCATGAAGCCTGGTGATGGCTTTGATCATCACAAGGTTTATTTCAGGAGAAATGAACAAATGATTGTAATGAGAATAGACACCGAGTCAACATTGATGCTGGAGCTGGTGAAGGTGTGTCAAGGGACATCATCCAGCTTCCATTTAGAGAAACACTTAATAAGTCAAGGCTTCCCAATTTTCATGAGATAGCTTTCCATTAACTCTGGAGTGTCAGAAGTGGTTTTTGATGTGCCTGCCAGCGCTACATTACAAGGGTGCTAGGAATTTCTTCTTGAAAAATGAAGTTGCAGCCAATTCTGAGGGAGGGATACATTCTGGTGGTGTGAGGCTCACCAGTGCCTTTGGGCCACGATGATGTGTCAGCTGTGTTGACATCTCTTGCTATAACTCATTTATATGTACATTCCTGCTTTGGCTTTGTAAATGACAAAGTTTTTAGTGTCATTACTCACTGCATTATCCTGCATGGGCTGTTCAGCTGGTGCTCACTCCAGAGGAGACAGCAAACCTCAACACATAAATCACTGTAGGAACAACTTTGTCTTTTAAAGAATAATTTACAAGACTTTAAATTGAAATTCTTCTGATAAGACTCCTGGTTCATTACAGCCTCTTTAATATAGGTCTCTTGAAAGCCTGTCCCAAGGATGAGAATGATGAGAATGCTTTTTTAATATTATTACAGTCTTTTGGGAAAGCAGGAGGGGCTCTAACCAGGGCCTCGGGAGAAAGAGCAACCAAACACTTGGGTGTTGAGAAGCCCTGAGGAAGGTGGGGCCACATCTCATGCCAACCTGCAAGTTTTTGACATAAGATTTTATTTTGTTATTCTGAAGCTTTTTGCTTCACTTTTCCAGGGATTACAGGAAGAATAATTGTAGTTTTTTCTGGTGGAGGCTGTTCAGTCTGATCCTCCAAGTTTACAGTCTGGCTTCCATTACATACACAGCTAAATCCAAATCAACAGCTTTTTTTTTTTTCTCTATCGCTACTCATTATGCAGAGTTCTCAAGTGCCTAAAAGCAAACGTTAATGCTACTTGCCATTTAAAGCAGAATCAAAGACTTTCCTCCCTGATTCCAATCAATAATTAAGTTCAGTGCATTAGGATAAGGAAAAGAAAGCTCCACCAATTATGGATTAATTACCTCACAGCTCAAATGATGTGTCTAATCCCCTGGGAGAGTAGTATTCTCCAAGTACACCTGTTTACCCATATGTCTCAAATTGCTATTGTCACCTCTTTGAGGGTCAGAAGTAACATCATTCTCTCAGACTGAGATCCAGATATTAAAAATATGCTGGGATTTGTTGTGGCTTTTGTTTACCTCTGCTCTGGCTGTCAGCTTCCTCCTGGTAACTTGCTGCCACCCATGTGGGTTGATCACAGGCCAAGTGTGGGCAGCAAGGCTGGCATTGGATCATTGGGAGTGTAAGGAGAGAGTCCAGGGATGGTGAAGGAGGATGTTTGGATGCTCCTTGGCTTTATCCAAGCCACCCAGCTCAGTATTAGACTCCATTAATAAAGAGTTTTCCTGTACACCAAGAAAGAATTGTATGAGCAAAAGGAATTTCCAGGTGTGTGAAAGAAGCAAAAATATATTAAAATTCATATGTGGTTATTTATTAGTAACTTGGGTGGTAGAAGGAACTCTGATATATCAGAAAAAAACCCCAAAAGAATAAGAAGCCCCCAGTTGAATTCACCTTGTATGTACAACTTTCTAATTCCTCATTTGCTAACATGAGAGATCTTAGTAACTGGGAATTGATCAGCACTCATTGCTGTGCAATACTTCTCATTGTGCTTAAAAAGCAACCTGGTGAGCAGAGTTAAGCAGTGCTTTTGCAGGAGCAGTGGTTTGGTGAAAGGAGTGGATTCTTCAAAGGATATTCCATTTATCTGAGGGGTGGCCTGAGCATCTGAAATGACATTTTCTTGGGGGCAAAATTGGAACAAAAACTTCCCACAAAACCATCTTGATGCCAAGGCAGTGGAGTTACACTCAACACCAGTCTGTGTTTTTAGGAAAACAATATGGTTGGGAAAAAAAAAAAAAGCACAATCTGAAGTTTTAAAACTCTGAATTATGTAAATTTTATTCTATTTTATTTTTTTCTGGTGAAACTAAGAGTGTCTCCTAAAAAGCAGAAGAGTTTCTCCAGCACCTCTGCTTGACAGCAGTGCTAGGGGCACACAGCTCAGGCTGATTAAGGAGCTTATCCATTTGTTGCCAAGCTTGGATGAGCTTGAATTTTCCACCACTGTATCTTTTTAATGGGGTCTTTTGGAAAATACTTCCCTTAGCTTGTTAGCTACAGCCCCAGAAATGACCCTGAGTTTACAAGGGGCTTGGTAAGGTGGATCATTTGCAAGGAAAATCAGTCAAGTTGCCAATTAAAGCTGCAGAGACTCATTAGAAGCCTTTGAGAAGTGTGTTGCCTTCATATGTTCTCTTCTAACAATTTTGGGAGCTGCTGTCACATTTGCTCAGATCTTCCTACAACAGTCACATATGCTGGAAAGAAGTAGATCTTCAGCTATTTGATTAAAACCTTTCTGGTGCTACTTAGAGCTGCAGAACCCTGGTTGGCCAAGCCAGAGGTGATCAGGTCACAGATCAGTTTGGTCTGCCTAGTAGGAGATAAATGAATATATCCTTGGAGAAAGTAATTTAAACCCTCCCTTACACTGCCTG